GCAGGAACTTGGGATTTCCCTCTTTGACTTCTCTCCCTGAAGTAAATCATGGTTGCCATTCTCAGCAGCCATTTCTGGAGGGTAAAACCAGAACATATCAGGGGTTACTTCCAAGTATTTTGAAATAAAATTATTTTATGACCTTTTTTCCTTGTCGTGTTCATGTAGGTCTAAATTTCTAGAAAACACTTCACATTTCACATCTTCATTCATAGCTAGAGCTTGTCCTCAGTTGAGTTTTGTGAGAACATTCTGTGCATTCTCAAAATCAAGACATTCTCACTTAAGAATGGGAACTAAAGGATTCATATAATTTATAAAGGCACATATAAGTGAGAAGTTTTCATGAGATCACATCTGGGAACACAAAAATGGTTACCTATTTTAACAGGTGTATTTTTTTGCAAATCAATAAATACCTGCATAAAATGCAGTGATTCCCTTAAACAGCATGTAAATACAGTGTGATCCTAAAAGTGAATATCACATGTTGTTTCCAGATGAATTCTTGGGGTTATTTTGATTTATCAGAAATCCTTTCAGTTAAAACAGTAGTCACAAAAATATTGTTGCTTTTTAAAGCTACTTATTTGGCTGAGAGTTTGATGCAATTGCCAAGATATTCCAGGGAATGAGATAATGTTAACTTCTTCTTTTGCTGGGTTAGTTTTTTTCAAACAGCAAATGGAACTTATAAAACAGGAAGCTGTGGGGTTATTTTGATTTATCAGAAATCCTTTCAGTTAAAACAGTAGTCACAAAAATATTGTTGCTTTTTAAAGCTACTTATTTGGCTGAGAGTTTGATGCAATTGCCAAGATATTCCAGGGAATGAGATAATGTTAACTTCTTCTTTTGCTGGGTTAGTTTTTTTCAAACAGCAAATGGAACTTATAAAACAGGAAGCTGAATACCTGTAGGGTTTTTGCTGATTTGAGAGCTATTGCTTTTGTCTTTATGGATTCCTGAACCACAATATCATGAATGATCTAAAGGTTATGTGTTATTCCTATGCTCTGTCCTACATCCCTGTTGAATTTTTAGGCCTTGCTCATCCAGCAAAAGAGTTTTTTCAGAATTATAGAAAAATGTAAGTACTGATTGTACAGTCCCATGGAAATATTCTTATTCTTATCTTCAGGAAAAAATTGCTGCTTATTTTTAGGCTTGAGAAGGTAACATTCAAGAAGGATCCTTTCTCATTCTGTCTGTGTGCCAGGATACCAATGTGACTTCAGAAAAACAAGTTCTAATTCTTTAACAGATGACAGAATACTTGAGAATTCTCAACTCAGTTACTCCCTCTATGTACAACTGGCTTTAATATATGATAAATTCTATATTGCTACTTCTGATATTTTGCCCTAAGAGCTATACTGGGAATAACTACTCTATTCCACCTTGGAAGAGGTTGGATTTGAGATGCAGGTAAAAGCATCCTGGGGGTTAAGAGCAGGTTTATCAAAGAGAGAAGGCCTTGGACTCCTGGTCTGTACAACTGGGTGAAAGATGCTACATCAGTGTGATTATTCAGACCATGTATTATTGAATTGTCTCATCTTTTAAACTTTCTAATCTGTCAAAAAACATCCATTATATTCTCACACACAAGTCTTCCCATGTGTATAGAAGTGCAGGTAGTTTGAATTTTCCTAGTGTTATTACCTGTAGAACACCAGGGACAGGACCTGAGGGAATGATCTGAAGTTGTGTCAGGGGAGGGTTAGGCTGGAGATTAGGACAAGGTTCTTCTCCCAGAGGTGTTTGGGCACTGAACAGCTCCCAGGGCAGTGTCACAGCCCCAAGGCTGACAGAGCTCAGGGAGTGTTTGGCCAATGCTCTCAGGCACAGGGTGTGATCCTTGGGATGTCCTGGGCAGGGTCAGGAGTTGGACTGATGATCCTCAAGAGTCTCTTTCCACTGTGATATTAATAGTGTGGCTAATTTAACATAGGTGCTTGGAGACTGATGCTAAGTGAATCAAGAAGTTAGACTCACTTTTAGTTAAAGATTTCCTTAAAAGGAATGGGTTTGCACTCTTACCTCCAGAACTTCACATTTTTCAAGTGAACTTCCAAAGCAGCTCAGCACTCCTAAATATGGATCTGCTTATACAGCTACAAGCACTAAAATTATATTTACATTATCAAATATATTTGTGTCATCTCTCTAGTAGATAATGGATGCAGTGAGTCTTTTATCTTCCATATTGTTTGCTATAAAAGTGTGATGGGATAAAAATTCCAAGAGTGCCTGAAACATGTGTGAAGTCACTGGTGATTTACACCAGGCTTTAGTTTACCATGGTAAAGCTGAAAGAGTTAACCCCCAAAATGTTGCCATTATGATAGTGTAAAACTTAATATTAAATGTTCTTTCAAGGCACTCCTATTCCAGTGACCTAATGAAAATAAATTCAAGGATAATCAGATGTATATTTCATGTGCCAGGAGGTATGTTTGAGAATGTAAAGATTATACAATTAATAAGAGAGGTTAATAAACAACTTAGGACAGGAAAACTGATCAGAAAAATACATTTTTTTTTTATTATTCCAGTACACACTAGTTTTTTCTTTAAGTACAATGGCTCTAGATTATGCTACATTTCATATTTCTCATCTCTGGACTTTATATTACTTTTTCAGCACATTAAAACTTATGCAGTGAAACTGAATAATGGCAAGTGTTTTTATACCCTTTTATAGCCATTTCTTTTTTCATAACCTCCCCCTGTTTCCTGTTAGCTAAACTATAAGCACCTTTCTGTTAATTTATGAAAATTATTGTTGAGAGAGCACATTATCACTGATCTGTATGGCACTTCCAGCATGTTAGAAGCAAAGGTCCAAGCAACATAAAACACATCAAAATTCATTAATGTGGTATTGATTATTTTTTGGATAATTAATTTTATTGCAGGCCCTTGAGAGAGATAATGAGCTGCAAAGGGAGAAGGCAAAGGAAAATGAAGAAAAGTTCCTTAATCTTCAGAAGGAGCATGAGAAAGCACTAAGAACTTGGAAAAAAGATGTAGGTTTATTAAATTAAATGTTAGAGTGTTAAAGGTTTTTGAAATAGTCACCAAGTATTTCAGGTGATTCCTAAAAGCCAGGAAAATATTGCAGAAATAAGACAATAATACAAATAATGCAATAAAAGCAACCAGTAATACAGACTCTTCTAGGCATGAATGTTTTTTAAGGGTAGATTTAGGTTGACTTCTGTGCTCTAAAAGGTCAATGCTCTTCCACAAGTTCTGACTTGGCAGGAATTCCTCAGTGTGGACTGAAAGGGGATAGGGAAAGGTGTATGTCTTGTATGTCCTCTCAGTGAATTCACCTCTGTGCACACCTAAACAGCTATTTGTCCTCAAGATTTGACATTCTTTCAGCTACATCACTTTCAAAGAATACTTCAGTAACTGTGTAACCCAAACCAATTAGCCAAATGTTGGAGCTGTAGAAATTGTCTGCAGTAACAAATGCCTGTTTACGAGTAGGAAAGATTAATAACTCCTCAACAAGATCTGTTCAGTGTGTGCAAACCAGACTCTAAGCAGCATGTGTCTGTTTTTTCTTTGTATTTAGCACCTACTGCCAGGAAGGTTTTGATTCTGGTAGACAGATTTCCAGGGAAGCTGTGGGGGAATAATGTCAAGTTGTCCTTGCAATGCTGTTGTCCAAGGCTAACTGTTTTGAGTGCAGCCACTATGGAGATGACTGTGACCATGAGTCTACAAAACAGCTGATCTGTTCTGATGCTCAGTTCCCTGAGATTTGATCTCCCTCATTCCTTGCAGTTTTATACCACAGTTTCCTGTACAGACATGGGAATTTCCCCTGCTTATTTCTCAGGAAAGTTTGCAAGGATTTGTTAGAAGACAATGGTTTGTTTTTTTCCCTTTTCATATTTCTGCTGTGGCTAACTAGAAATTTGGTCCCTTAAAGTACAGCATCATCACACATACACTGCTCTGGAAACCTCTGGAAATGAAGGTATTTCTGTAAAATTGCCCTTTGTACTTTTTCCAGCTTGCAGTTTGGACTGTCCTATTTGTTCCAAATACAAAAGTTTAATGGTTACATATCCACTGAAGAAGCATTGGGTACTTGAGGCTGTTTGCAGAAGTGCCAAGCAAATCATTTGCTGCTGCAGTTTCTTGACAGTGTAGATTGAGAATCAGTGTTGACTATCATGTGTATCTTTGTGCTATAAATACACTTTTTTTGAGCTTTGCTGCTTGAAGTACATGGTGGGAAAAAAACCCCCAAAACCAACTAATAAGAGGTATCATCTGTAATGGAAATGTAGCTAAAATTTTGGGTTGAATGAAAGCTCAATTATTTTGTACAAAGAAATTCCTGTACTTTCTTTTATGGATTTACTTTGGCTGAGCTGTTGATACCCTTTTCAATTGCTGTTTTACATACTTGAACATGCAGTAAAGTGTTTGTGTGCTCTTAATTTTTACAGGAGGAAAACATGAGAAGAGAAATAGACACTATAAAAAATGAGCTGAATACCCTGAAAGGACTTCACAGACATCTTGAAGATTCTCAACCTCCTCAGGAAATTCAGAGTTCTGAGCAGGTGGAAAATCTGCAGGTAAGTGTCTCTACTAGCTGCAATAATTACCATTGCTTGTAAAAATATTGGAGAACAAGAGATGTGACTCTTTTTCTAATCTGTCTGTCATGTCCACTGATCTTTCTTTGACGTTGTTAAGCCTCAACATTTATCTGACAATGATCCAAAACACCATTAATACTTCCTGTACCCAGAGAATGTTCCCTTTTCATCCAGAGGGACACAGAGCATAGAAACCTGAGGTGGCACTTCAATTTATACATACAGACAGCAGTTACCTTAAATAATCTCCTTACTAAATCCTGTTCCACAAACATATTTAGATGAGTGTTGTTCAAATCCTGTGGCAGACCCACTGACTTCATACATGTGTAAATTCCCCTGAAGGGTGGCAGTAAGGCCACTGCTAACTCAGAGGAACTAATTTCAGCTTCTGTCACATGGGACATATCAGAAGATGATTTTATCAGTATATAGGTCATCTAAGCTGCTCAGGTTTAGTTTTAAACCCACCAACCTTTCTGTCACTTAGCATCTTTAAGAATCATCCAGGGCACAAGCAGCTCAAGAGGTGATGAATGCAAAAGGTGAAAGACTTTTAAGTGGTGAAGTTGAAGAAGAATTGAGCTTGCATTGCTGGGGGAACCAAGCCCATGCTCAGCTCTAGATTTGAGGCACATATGAGAAGTCAACAGGTGGTTAAGCACATGAAGATGATCTTTTGGAGCAAAAGGAGGAGCATGTAGCCCTGCAGCTCTGTGTAATCCCAGAATTAAACTGGATTGCAAATATGTATTCCAGTCTTACATAAGATAGAAAACCAGGAAGAGTCAGAAGCCATGAGAAAGTTTCTCTGTGCAATGAGTGTATTCTGCTGTGAGTTTTGGTTATATCCTTTTTTTCCATTAAATTTTACACCCAAATAATGATTTATCCTTCAGGGAAAAACTTTTTCATTTATACCATAAACTTTCAGTGTTAGGAAAACAGGACGAGACTAGGATTTGAGACAGAGAACTTTTTTAGGACTAGTCTATGGATTGTCAGCAAAATGACAAACTGCAAAAATATTTTAGAATTTGGAAGAAGTTAAAATCAGTTCCCTCACAGTACAAGAACATGTGTGTGTCTGTGGCTCACACACAAACACACACACCTATGTACCTGCTGCTGTGTGCTTAAAGATGCAAGGGAAGTCAGACTGGAAGTGATTCCTCACTATGCCAAAGCTGTATGGACTCTGCAGGGAGTAATGCCAATTGGGTAACTTCTAAAAATCATCGTTCCCTTAATGCAAATGAAAGATCAGTTATGTTTAGGATGCAGAGTCAATGCAATCAGCCATGCAGGATAAACAGTACTTGTGCTTGCTAAGAAAACTCTATGGGTTTGAAAGCAGATAAGGTTATGTTCATAAATGCAAAAAAAAAAATCTGAGAGGTCTTCTGAATATACATCTTACACTATCTTATGGCAAATTGCCACAGCACTTTGTGTTGTACAGTCATTGGATTGCCAAAGCTAGGCTGGACTGAGTGAAATCTCCAGTGGAACACTGCCAAGGAACCACAGGAGCTGCAGCAGATCATATTGATTATCCTGATTTGTGGAATCTCACCTTGTTTCAGTAATGAGTCAGTGTCTAGCAACACATAAAAGGGAAAGGTGTTGGCTGTGATTTACATCTTGTCTATGGTTCCAAATGTTGGAAGGAAATATGCATATATTTATTTTTACACCTAGTGCCATCTGAAATCCCATTTTGGGGAGCATGAAATTTAGAATGTACATAAACTCTTCCTCCTGATCACCTCTGGAACAGTAATTAAACAAAAGGCCTTTTTAAAAGCAAGGTACAATGTCAGACCTCATTACAGACTTGGATTGCAATTTAGTTTAACCTTCCCAAGCTTCACATTTAGTTTGATATAAATTGTGCCACAGCTGAACACCATTAGAGAACAGAGCTACACCTAGCAATGGGTTGAGGTAATTTTTTGGTCTGTACCTGCACAGGAAGATCTGGTGTTGAAAAGATTTTGAATTTCATAGTATGAAACAGTGTATATAGTCTATAGTATGCTGCTTAGTTAGGTTTTACAGGCAAAAAGATTTTGAATTTCATAGTATGAAATAGTGTATATAGTCTATAGTATGTTGCTTAGTTAGGTTTTACAGGCCAAACAAAATCCAGGTTGAATAGTTTTGCTAGGTATTTGAAAACTGGGTTTATTCAACCCATCTGAAAAATCTGGGAAGGAATCATGTAACCTTTCTGCCTTTCTAAGAACACTTCATCCTGTTTGTTTCAGGTGCATTCAGCAGCTCAGCCCACACCAATAGATGTGGTGAGTTCCACTGCAGTAGCTGTTTCATAACTGTACAAAAGAGCAATGTGCACGGTTATATTGTGCTGTTTGGTGTTTCTGTCTCAAGAAACAGCTCCCAGAAGCAAAAGATTATAAAAGAGCCACAGCATGCATGAAAGGAAATGGAAATTTCTGGTATTTGTATTCAAACAGTTTGAAAATGTGATGCCAAGGTAGACAGAGCAAACAAGAAAATGTATTTAACACTTAGAAAAGTAAAAGATGTAATATGTGCCATTTCCAAATCAGAGTGACAGGGAAGATGATGATAAAAAGAGAAAGAAATTTAAGCTGAAACTTCAAATGGATTTGGCAAAGTATTTCAGGACCCTCCTCCATTGACCACAACTCCTCCCTCCCCCAGATCAGCCACGCTGGGAGCACCAGGATGTTTCTGTGCCCTGTAGAAAATTGTTTCCTGCAGATTCGTGTTCTACACCACCTACTCTGCCACCATTGCAACAGTCTCATTTTTCACCAGTGCTGTCTACCCACAGTTTGCAATACACCCTATCCTCCCCACACCCCCAGTGCCCAAGCACAGCACTCTATCTCCCTCCCACATCCCACTCTTCCTTCTGCAGCACCTCCAGGCACCCAAATATCTTCAGCTTTTTCCCACATCTTTTATGGACTAAGCAATATCCCTTCTCCCTCCCACATCTGCCTACTTTTATATCCTATCTTTAGGGCAAGAGCCAGCACGTGCTCCTGCCTTCAGCTGCCAAACACTTGATGATGATAAAGGATGCATCTTCTTTTCCCTTTTTTTTTTTTTTTTTCTAGTGGGGTTTTATTAGGCTGGTTTTTTCACTAACAAATCCTCGTTTTCACCTTTTTTCTAGTGGGGTTTTATTAGGCTGTTTTTTTCACTAACAAATCCTAGTTTTCACAGAACTTTATTGAGTGCAGCTTTCAAAAATAAAGACCAATACAGGTCCAGTAGTAGATCAGTGATTTAGATTTTAAGTAGACACATCTCAGCTTCTACTCCTGTTGGATTTGACTCAAATTTGGGTTAAAAAGTCATTTGGGAGGGAGAGGAACTGAATGTCAGAAATTGCAAATTCATAAGCTTTATTTGCTGTGAAACGAAGTTAAAAATTCTGGGTGGTTTGTTAGCTAATGTGTGTGTTTGTGGACATGTGTTCGGGTGTAAACAGCAATTCCTCAGGTTTTTTCCACCTGTAATTACTGAGCAGGTCACTAACTTTGCCAGCAGACTGAGGGAGTGATCCAGTCAGCACATGCACAACAATATTCCTTCCTCTGAGAAGTTCTCTCAATCTGCCTAACTTTTCTCTGGGGACTGGAATATAGCAGGACCTCATTTCTTTCCCACTCTTCTAGGGTATTAGTCTCCCTTTTCTTTCCCTCTTTTTGCATTAACTTCTTATACTTCAGGTGAATGGTCTTTGTTTTCCACCAGACTTGTCAAATGAATTTTAAACCTAAGTCCTGAACTTTAGATCTAATCAGTGACTGCAGTAAATTATTCAAATATGTATAATCTTTTGTTCCTCCTTCTGCTAGAGTGGTCAAGAACACTCCAAAGACAGTGAAGTACAGGCTATTCAGAAAGAAAAGGAGTTTGTGCAATCCATAATAAGAAAATATGGTAATTGTGGACATGAAGAAGACCCTGAAGTAAAAACCATAAGGGACCACTCTTCAAGCACTGAGGAACTGCAGATAGAGACCTGAAGTACATAAGGGACCACTCTTCAAGCACTGAAGAGCTGCAGATAGAACCAAGTAATAACCTTACTTGGATAGCAGAGATAAGTAGTAGTCAATGTTTGCACAGACAGTAGATGACCAGAGACTGTTTGAATCCTGAACTAAATGTTTTTGTACCACAGCAGTAAAATTCATGGTGTGAGTGGCACTAATCTCTGAGAAATCCACCATAAGGGACCACTCTTCAAGCACTGAAGAGCTGCAGATAGAACCAAGTAATAACCTTACTTGGATAGCAGAGATAAGTAGTAGTCAATGTTTGCACAGACAGTAGATGACCAGAGACTGTTTGAATCCTGAACTAAATGTTTTTGTACCACAGCAGTAAAATTCATGGTGTGAGTGGCACTAATCTCTGAGAAATCCACACAGCACATCCTTCAGAGGTTGCCCTGGGCCTTAGGGAAGATGTGTGTGCTGTAACCCTCAGGCTCCTTCTTGCCAGTTCAGGAGGGAACAGTGGCTAGGAGGAACTGCAAGTGTTTGAAAGCAAAACCAGTGACTTTGCCATAAAATAATGAAAAAAGTTGAGATGGTTGTGCTGCATAGGACAGTGAAGGTCTGTTCATGTGGATAAACATAATACTTTTCTGTACAAAGCACTTTGCAACTCCAGCAAGCCATTTTTGAGGCCACCTAAAGGCAATGTATTTAGTCTCTAATGCTCAGGCTCTCAAACCTAGCAAGGAGAAGTGGAAATTTCAAAGCTACAAAGGGCCTGTTTTAAGGGATCAATGCTCAGAGCCTTCAGGTGGATCTTTGGGAAAACACCCTTCTGATACTGACACTGCACTTCCATCAGACACAGCCTGTTCCTTCTGGTCTGAGCACAGCCCCTTAAACAGCTCCTTCAGGTTGGGTTTCCACTTAGATAAAAATGCCACTTTGAAAAATAAAGACAAGTACAGTTGCAGTAGTAACTGAAACTTTATGTGGCCTCACATTATTATGCACTAATGCCACAAGTCCATAATGAAGGTTCAATAACTGTCTGTCAGGTATCAGTTGGGCACTGTTTCAGCTATAACTCATAGCTAAAATCTACAGAATGTTAATGTATTTTCTGGTTGATCAGTTTCTAAATATTTTGCAAGTTACCATAGTGCAATACTTATCTTCAGGAACTTTTGATAGTTTGTGTGTGTGATAGAAGCTAAGAAAAATCAGTATCGATACTAATCTTGAATCCATCTCTTTGGAAATTATAAACTGTAACATTATATTAGATGTCAGGAGAAATATTTTCCCTGTGAGGGTGTTCAGGCACTGGAGTATTGCCCAGGGAGGTGGTGGAGTCACCATCCCTGGAGGTTTTCAAGCTGAGACTGGATGTGGCACTTAGTGCCATGGGCTAGTGACCATGGTAGGGTTGGACTGGATGATCTTGGAGGTCTCTTCCAACCCTGTTGATTCCAGGATTCTAAGTGTTTAAGAGGCATCTGGATCTGACACTGGAGGATATGGTTTAAGGGATTCCAGCAGTGACAGGTTATGGGTTGGACTTAATGATCTTAAAGGTCTCTTCCAACCTTGCTGATTCTATGATTCCAAATAACCTCTGGGTTATTAGTCACTAACCAGGCAACACATTTACTCCACAGATTTACAAGTTCTTGAAAGCAGTTTTAAGGATGAAGTTAATGTTGCCAGCCCTCGTGAAGGAAAGCAAAGGGAGGTGTCTCCCAGGAATACCCTCTGCACAGATACTGATTTAATTACCCAAGGACAGAGCTCAGAAATGGATGTCACTGGGTGCAAAGAGGCAGAAAATCTAGGACCAACACACAGAATGTTACTAGATGAAACCAATGCACATTTAGAAGAAAAGCTCCAGGAGAGCACTGAGCCCTGGGCAGCAAGTCACAGGCAAGCACAGAAGGGCTTTTCAGTCAGTACTGAGGATGTAGGTGCCTACAAGCAAAATGCAGGTCAGGAGGACAACTCTGGCAAGCAAGAACTGTGCAGTCCTGCAGATGAAACAATTTGTGCCAAGGCAGATACAAAATCAAATACCATCCAACACAACCCAAGTGTTACACCTGCAGCACCCAAACCTGAGTCTGAAGTGGCTCTTTGCACAGACAATGCTGAGCTGGAGAGAAGTACAGACAGCCAGCAAGCTAAGGAGCTAAGTTTTGGCATCCTACCTTACTCTAAAGAAAATTCTCAAACTGAACACCAAAAATGTGGCTTGCTGAGCAGTGACAACGATGTAGATAGTGGATTACATGCAGCAGAAAAACACTTAAATCCAAGTGGTTTACATAAACTCCCTTTCAAAGTGACACATAGAGATGCTGAAGACAGAAATGCTGATGACAACACCAGAAACACAGACAGAACTGGTGCACTGGGGAGCACTGGTGTTCCAGCAACTGATGCTCAAAATCTACCAACTGTTTGCTCTGATAATGCAAGAGGTGATGATGCTGCAAAAGAACACAGTGACCACAGGTCTCTCTTGGGTACCTGCAATTTATGGCCCTCAAAAATTGAAAGGGGAACAAATGTGGGTGACATGTGCAGAAAGCAACCTGAACAAGACAGCACTAAACAAACAGGGAATGCTCCAAACACATCTCCTTTGAATGCTGAAGCCATAAAGGCTGAAAGTCTTGGAATTGCTCTTAAAAAACCCCCAGCAGATAGAACTGGTACAGATGAACTAATTCCATGTCAGAAAGTTAACAATGAAGCTCAGATACACTCCATCAAAAATGGGCACTCCCTGGAGGTGAATAATTCAACAAATACCACATTGTTAAAAGAGAAAAAAGATTCACTGGATGGTGCAGTTCCAGGAAGGAAGTTTGCTGAGGGTCACCTGAAAGAATCATGCTCTTTACCCATGAGAACATCTGGAAATTTAGTAAATGTAAGTGGAAGGTCATCCTTTGATCTTTCAACCTCAGATAAAAAAGCTGAGAAAACTCCAGTATACCTCAATTTTTTAGACTTCAGCTCTTGTTTAAGAGTAAATCAAACGAGAGGTCAAGTGACATGGACTTCAGCTCCCAAGGATCCTTCCCTTCAGAAGGAGAAACTGCCATGCTTAGTGGAAAACACCAAGGTTCTCTCAAAAGCACAGTGCCAGAATCCCAGTGAAAATGTGGCCAGAGGAGAAACAGGGCTAGGTAAGCAAATATAAACATTTCTGCTTTGAACTATGTACTGAATATACTTAGAAAAATCACCAAAATGTGAAATTTCTGTATCTAACTTTAGTGTAGAAAAATGCAAACCTGACAGTTACATGGCAAAAATAATTGAGGGAGAGATTTCTCTCTTTATAGTATAAATGCAACTAAACAGCTTTAGTTTGCTTATTTAGCTGGGCCATAATTTTCCCCTCATATTTCCCTTTATGAAAGAAGAGAAGTGCAGTGACAAACTGAATTGATAGGCATTTCTAACTCCAGCAGGGCTCTGTGTGGGTCTGAAAAGCACTGAGCAGCTTTGGGAAAATATTTGGGGCTCTCATTTTGCATCCAAATCAGGGCAGATCTTGAGCCAGGAGATGCTTCTTTGAGTGGGGCCTAGAGATAGTTTACTTTTTATTTTCTTGTCCAACTGTAATTCAGATGGACACTTAAAACCTTCTGAGTGTGAAAGGACTTTATACTCTTTGAAGTTCTGGAAAACACACCAAGCTTGAAGAGTATTCAAGGAGCTTTTACATCTCCTGCTGTTGGCATGTGATGATTATTTGCTGAGCAATATTTTTTTGTATGCAAAACAGTAAATATGAACTTTTTCCTGTGTGTTTCCAAATCATTACTGGAATGTGGGAAAAACTGTATTTTAGACTTGTTTTGCAATAAAATTAGCTGCTAGATTACCCCTATATTTATTTACTAAAGGAGCCATTCTGAACTCAATCTTTCTCCAAAGTCATAAAAGCATCATTTTTATCTTCACAGTAATCTGAGTCCAAGACATTTACAGATGTTCCTCTGATTCAGGAACTGGACACAGTAGAGGATAGTATAAGTGCCTTCCTTTCTCAAAACAGAGCTTGGATGGGGATTCTGTTCTTCTTGTGCTCTGCAGGCTTAAAAAGCAGCTCCAGGCTCTGGGAGAAATAACCTCCTGGTTTGTACAGAAGTGGAGCCTTAGGTGCTCTGGGGTTTTTCACAAGAGCAGGACCCACAGCACAGGCTGTTTGTGTCTACGTGAGGTTTTGTTGGTGTAGTGTTTGCAGCTTTGCCTCTTGACCATACAAAGGGACTCCCATCCCTCAGTTCTGCAGCCAGTGGCAGTGAGAAAAGCAGCAATCTGCTTTCTTTGCATTGTTCTGCTGTTATGAATTTGACTTTAAAGGTGGTTTTGTTCCTGTACTTGGTCTCCTGCCTGTGTCTGTCTCTATTCAGATGTACCATTTTTTGGAGTTCAGTTTCAGAAATCTCTTTGTCCCTAAAACACTAGTGGTGGTGGTGAGGTGAAAGACTCCTGGGCTCAAATGGAACCATATTTCCATATCCAGGTTCAGCCTGGAGAAGAAGAGGCTCAGGGGAGACCTCATCACCCTCTGCAACTCCCTGACAGGAGGCTGGAGTCAGGTGGGGGTTGGTCTCTTCTCCCAGGCAACCAGCAGCAGGACAAGAGGGCACAGACTCAAGCTCTGCCAGGGGAGGGTTAGGTTGGATATTAGGAAGAGATTTTTTCCAGAGAGAGTGATCAGACATTGGAATGTGCTGCCCAGGGAGGTGGTGGATTCACCATCCCTGCAGGTTTTCAAGCTGAGACTGGATGTGGCACTTAGTGCCATGGGCTAGTGACCACGGTAGGGTTGGACTTGATGATCTTGGAGGTCTTTTCCAATGTGGTTGATTCTATGATTCTGCACTGCTGTTGGCATCTCTCAGACCAACTCGTGGTGTCTGTTATACTCCAGCAGGAACTGCAGGGTGAGATCCAGTCGTAGATAAAACAGCACTATTATTTGTGTTGTTAATGAGCTGCCTTATGATATCTCCCTCTGCCAGGGGAGGGTTAGGTTGAATATCAGGAAGAGAAACATTAGAGAAAGCCACTGACTGAGAGATTCCTTATTTTAAATGGTTTTGACTGTCTCAAAAGCTTTGTATTAAGAATGTCTTTTCTTTCCAAGTCACCCTGAAATATCACATTAGGATGCAATTAGTTATGCATTTTATCCTTCTCAGAAGGTGAGTTTAAAGGAAAAGTGTTTAAAATATATTCAGTTAGAATATCTAGAATGCATTTTCTACAAATCACTATTTTGTCCTTAATACATGAAAATGATACTAAACATTTTTAATCAAAGTAGAACCATCTCCCACCTTTTGGGAAAAAGCCTCCAACAGAGACTCAGTGATCTACAATGAAAATATTTGATTTTTTGAAGATCAGAGGTAAACCAGGAGTTTAGTTACTTCACAATTAGTGCCTAGAGACTAAATTGCAGTTACCATTTCCTTTTTGTCAATCAGGTTCTACAAGTTCCAACAGAGCTGCCAACACTCTGAATACTTCCAGTATCCAGCAAGACTCCCAAGGAGACCCTCGTGAGGAATGGAATGCTACAGCAAAGGCCTTTTATGATTCTTCTTTTCCCACAGAACATGTAAGTCAATTAAAAATATTGCAGACCAGACCTCAGTGAGCTAATTCCACAGATATTTGTACCACTGTATGCATCTGGATACTTTAAGGCTGAGTCAATCTCCAAAATAATATCAAAAGGGCAACAAGGCACCATTTTTCACAATTAGGGTTGATAGAAAGCAGCAGGAAAAAGTCACAGCATATGAATCAAACAGATGCTAAGCAGTCTGTTGGGGAGGGGAGGAAGAGTTCATTGTGTACCCTAATAAAAATCATCACCTACAGTAAAAGTAGGACTTAAAAAAAAAAAGGGAAGAGTTGTGTTTAAAAGTAAACAAACATTGTTTTCTTTACTGCTTGATAGGACCAAGTTATTTAAGAACCTGTGACTTGGGGCCTGTCCATGTCTCTTAGGCTGCAGTTGTAGAATGGTGTTACACAAATGAGTAAAAGCTGAGGCCTTGGGAAACAGCATCAAGAATGAACAGGTTGAAAGTTTTGTTGGTCAAAGAGAGAAGTGGAAATGGAGGTAACAGTCACTACTGACATGAAGTGTCATTAGCCTCAGGCACTGCCACAAACAGGCTCAGGGAACAATTTGCAGGAGTTTTGTTGTTTGTATTTCAAACTGTAAGAAATGCTTGTGCACTGGGGAAGGCAAGTCCAGCACAAAACCCACGTGCTGAGCTAGAGCTGGGCCTGACATAGTGTCTTACAGCTGGCTGGGGCAGGGTGGCCTAAAATTCAGAAGGAAAAGCCTCCCTTTGCTGTCCTTGCAAGAGAACTACCCTGAGTGTGCTGCCCCAGAGCCACACAACCTTGGATTACCAGTGGAGAACTCCTTAGTCAAGCAAAATGCTGTTTCCCTACTGTGTTGCCATCTGTCTTTCCTGTGGAGTATCTATCAAAGAGTAATTAAAACCATTAAAAGAACAAAAAGACCTTTTCCATAAAAACACCCCAGACCTTGTGCTAATGCTGTTTGCTTCCTGATCTGTACAGCGAAGCAGAGAGGGAGTTAACACTAGAAACCTCATGATTTTGGGTTTTGTTAATCAAATGCTTGCACAGCAATAGAAATGTCAATTGCAACATTAAACTCTTTAATTAAGCTATTTATTTTGCTAATCTGCATTCTAATACAAGGTCATCCTCTTTAAATTGTACTCGTGGGTTAAACCTTACGTGGAGGTTTGGGTTGTAAAGGTGTATTTGGCATTAGAAAGTTTTCAACATAAATACAAAGCAAATGCTTGAAATTCAATGTAGTTTTTCCAACTGATTTATCTTCCTGTTCACATTTCCTTGCTCAGCAAAATCCAACCCTCTGAACCTCTGGCCCTGAGTCTCACTGGATTCTCAACTGCTCTGTTTGTGTTCTGCCAGGTGAAAGAAGCATTTAGTGCTTCACAGCAGGAGCAGAAGTTTTCTCATGTGACTGCAGCTCCAGCAAGAGGTGAAAACACACTCGGGGACGAGGACAGCTCTTCTCTTCAGCACTCCATTATGCAAAACCAAATAGAACAGATTGAGAAACTCCTGAATTTGGAGAGACTTCATTCAGCAAGAAAAAGAAGGTATGAAGAAGGCCAGTGAGGGTGAGAGCCAGGAATGAGAAGCATTTTGGGCACAGATCACTCACCTAAACCAGATGTGCAGAGGGTTTCCTCCAGAATATGGTCTGTACCTGTACTTTCATGTTTCATGCAGCATATAAACACATCTTGTGTTCAAAGGTGGATACAATCCCTACTGGTAATGTTAATTCTGTTTCTGGATTCAAATTCAAGTCACTACTGGCTTTGCCCAAAGTTAAGGTTTTAATACACATTAAGTAAGATTAAATGATCACATCACCATATGCTTCTGCTCCTCAGCAGCTTTGGCTGAAATAGTTCCATTCATTCTCTGTCAGACTGCTCACTCAGCTCCAACTGCTTCAGAACACAAAGGTTTCTACAAACACTTACAACAGCTTCCAGCAGTTCTAAGTGGCAGAAGAACAGAAGAATCTTCTGCTTCCCTTTACTGACAAATTATTTAACTCTATCTGTCATAGCTGACTCTATCAATAAGTTCTGTCACCACTGAAGCATCAGGTGTGATTACAGATCTGCCTTCATAGAGCTTCACTTCAACTGGGTCATATTTCTCCTCCCTTGGGTAAAAAGGAAATTTTCTCTTGCTTTACAATTATATATTTTTCTGACTGATCTCCCTCCCTTCCCACACCTCCTGCAAAGAAAGATCCTCACATTGTAAGACAATCAACAGAAGATATTTTCCCAGGTTTGTTTTATTGCCCTTTTTATTTTTTTGTGTTGCACTTTAGAATATTTAGCTTCTTTAAACCAATTACAAACATGTTTTGGTAACATTCACAAATTGTCCAAGTTTTGAATAAAATTTATCTATAGTGATATTACTAGGTAAAAAAAAAAAAAACCAACACCAAATTCTTAGGTGTCTGAGAGGCTGAGGAGGCTGTTTTTCACTTGATTCAAGTTTTGTTTCCAGGTGTTTAGAGTGTCATACAATTGCTGCCACTGCTGCTTCCCAAAAGTCCGATGTGTGCTGTGACTAGAGGAGTGAAACAAAAGTGGGAGATGATTACTACATGTCACACTCACCTAAGAATCCTCTTAAGCACGACTTTACTGTCACAGGGAACAGGAAGATTTTTATTTTCTCCAGGCTGCACTTCATCAGCACAGAGAATTCTGTGGCCTTCCCAAATATTCAAAGCAACCCCAGTCATTAGTATTCTCATCACTGTTAGGCCATTAAATGAAATGTGCTGGAAAGCAGAACTCTCCCATTAAATAAGCTAATCACATCAGTGAGCTTTAATAAAATTATGATAAATAGCAACTATTTAACTACCAACAATCCCTTGCTTCCAGTCAAAATATTCTACAACTCTAGGTGAAATAATTAGAACACACTAAGTTCTGCAAAATGTTAGGAAGAATTAAGTCTTACCTGACAACTACTTTCCTCTGGGTCTGATCTATTTTGCAGTACACCATCTTTGTCTTTACAGCTGCAAAAAAAAAAAAAGAAAAAAGGCTGTTTTGAGCAATGTTTTTGTGACAGTGCAGAGGTATTAAACTGTTCAAAATGAGATCCACACAAACATGAGAACAGAGCAGCTCCTTCAATACATTTTGCTGTTGGTTTGAACAGCCCAGTAGGCAGCAAAGTGAAATGATGTCACAAGGGGAAGGTCATGCACAAATCCTATTGTTTGGTGCCAATCTATTAAAGCAATATCCTGTCCAGGTTTTATGAACTTGTCTCCCCTACAAACACATCCTGTTTCAATGACAGCAAACAAAACCAGATGACAAATTAAACCTGCAAACAATTTATTAGTCCTAGAAAGAATTGCATGAGATGCAGTTCCTGTCAGTGGGAAGAAAAACCACTATTTAAATGGCAGCAGTTCTGCCTGAAGTTGTGCAGCTGTCTTGTCAAGAGCAGAGAAATGAAACTGAGTGCTGCTCTGCACCTTCAACATGAGCTGAGGAGCCTCGAGAAGGAGCTGCCCCAGCAGTGGGTGAGGGTGTAGGCACAGCTCTTACCATCAATGACAAATGCCTCCACGTCGTCGGCGCCGATCTGCAGCTCCTGCTGCATCGTGTCGAACGAGATCTCCTTGCTCTCCACAGCCATTCCCATGAAGGTCAGCAACCTCATCTTGGCCATGTTGTGTTCGTGCAACAAACCTGAGGGAAAGTATTAACAGTTCCATGAGTTCTTTCATTATAGTTCATATCCACCGTTTGCTTTTCATCTTACTTGTACTGTATAAGCTTCCAATAAATTATGATTTACTTCACATCAAGACATTCCACTTCTCCTTAGTAAATGTAGTTTTGAGGGAAAATAGCAAATCCTGCATCTGCCTTGTGTTTTGCTACAACAGATAGTTTAGTTATCACAGAATCATCAAGGTTGGAGGAGACCTCTAAGATCTAGTGAGGAGCTGTCCCTGCTCAGAGCAGGGGTTGGGACTAGATGATCTGTAAGGTCTATTCCAACCCCTAAATTCTATCTGAGACCATTCTCCTGGAAAAACATCTAGGTCAACCAGGGGAAGACACTGAGATGACACCAGGCAGTTCTTAATCCCAAATCCCACAAGGAACCAACTCTGGTTCAGTGGGATTTTCTTTAAAATGGATGTCAATCACTTTGCTTTAGAATGACATTATAAACACTCACATTGCTTCAGTAAATATTTAAGTTTGGAATTTATAACACCTGTACCCTAACAGGGAACACATTAGTGCAGGACATGATGTTGTGTTAATTAGCTGTAATTATGATGCAGGTTCCCTATTTGGCACCGACTCAACAAAAACGTGATCACCATAATTCATCTGAATGAGGAGCACCAGCAACTACACCTAACTGGGTTCAATGGAACTCTACAAGCAGCAAAAAATCAATTAGCACACATTAACCCTAATTAACAAATGCAAATGAGATGCTGATGAACTTTCTGGGAAACACTGCTGGTAGTAGCCGATTAACTGTGGCCATGTCAGGGCGATGCAGGTGACACAGACGATGCTGCTGTTGGCCTAAAGTTGTCAGCATTAATAAACCCACAAATTGTACCCAACTGGTGCCACCTGTGGAGCATTTCCAGACCAGTTTGTCTGGTCCTGACCCAGGAAAGGTGGTTCCAGTCCAACAGCACCTTCAAAAAATACTTCTGTGGGCAAAAGACTCATGCAAACTAGGTCATGACATGAAAATAATGACAAAACAAACCCCACTTTCCCCTGAGAAAGGTCTGCACAACTGATGGTCAGGCACAAAGAGATACTTATCCTATATACACATTTACAATCTACCAAAAACTTGCTGCAAATTTTATCCACCCAAAAATCCCAGTGATATTTCCATCGTTTTAATACCCAAAGCACCATCTGAAAGCTCTGAGGGTAATTCTTCCCAGACTGTATCACACTCCATTACACCAAATAATGCAGGTGCTAAAAAGCTGCACTGAGCTGTTTTAGCAAACCTGTGCCTTTCCTCACCAGCATTCAGCCACTGCTCAAGTGTCAGTTCAAAATCAAAGTTATTAAAAAAAAAAAACCCAAGAAACCTATTTTTATGGAAACATTTATTCATTACCAATATGTCAAAACCTTAATGCAGTCATAAAAAAATCTGCATCATTGAGCAATTTCTGCATTGTCACTGACCCCTGTCCTAAAAAGCTGGAATATAAAAACTGCAATTTTAATGCATGCAATAGCTTATGAACCAGTGCTCCTTTGCAACAGTCAATTACACACCCACGGGGGAGTGTCAAAGTGTTAATTACTACTCCTTTTTTCCACAGTGTGTAAATAAAGAGGGTGCTGACATTAACATTCCATCACATTGCTCCATGTGATGAAACAAATTAACTGGGACAGACTGTGGCTTTGCTAGGTCTAATGCATCAGCACATACAGACACACACACACAATTTGCATCTTTTATCTGCCTGCTCAGAAGTGTTTGCTGTTATACAGTTATTAATCATAAAAATAAATAAATTAGGAGATTTACAGAAGGTTTACTCGATAAAGTTGTGATCTCTGGCCTAGCCTGGAGTATCCATGCACTAAAACTCCCCTCCTGAAAGGTTTGAGAGAAAATCCAGTGGGTAAAAACACTTCCAAACCCATAAAGCAGCTGATCCTAGAGGAACAAACCACAGTTGGAAGGTCCATTTGTGACCTAGCTGAGGTTAGAGTCTACAAGCTCTAATCCATCCTTACAAATTCCTACCAGATTTTTCTTGGTTTCAATATATGGTTCACACTGCAGCACTCTGTGGCTTCCACATCTTAAGCCACACAAACAGTCAGAAATGTAATGATCTGAAAACTTACCGAGGGAGTCGATGAAGTCTTTGTTGTTTTGATAAAACTTGACATAGGATACGAGTTTAGCACTTACAAAAATTGTCAGAAGCTAGAAGATAAAAAGCAAATATAAGAACAGTTTAAATATCATCTTGGTTTTCCCCCCTGCAGGTTGGACAGACACAAACTACTGGTATTGAACACAAATCAAACTGTCAAGAACTGTGAACAGTCTGAGCTGAGCTCACTTTTCTCAGACTCACTACAGAGCTCATGGGAGGGCAGGGCTTGTAACAGTTTCTGCACTTCAAAAGGAAAACATTTCACAAGTTTTTTTTATTCTAAGGACGTTAAAAGCACTGCACACTGCAGCTCAGTGCGACTGACACAGGGAAAGGAAAACATTTCACAAGTTTTTTTTACTCTAAGGACGTTAAAAGCACTGCACATTGCAGCTCAGTGCGACTGACACAGGGCACTGCTCCACTCAGTTTCAAAAGACACTTACATAAAAACATCTGTAGATATCAAACCATCCTGCTGTTTTTTGCTGAAAACAGTTACTTACATCATGAATAAGTTCTCCTTCCAAAAACTTGACAGGTTTTAAGGCAAGAAGATGATCAAAGAGGAAGGTATTTGGATCCTTCAGTGCTCGGACAATACATCTAATTGGGAAAGGAAAACATTTACAGCAACACACCTTTTTATGAGCCAGTGCAA